CCCCCCGCCCACCCCCCCCCACCACCCCCCCAAACAAACCCCACTCACCCCCCACCCCCCCCCCCCCCAAAACAAACCAACACAACAAATGATTGAAACATGTTTAGAATATTATCAGAATAATAAAATCGAATTAGAAAAAATTAAAACTTTTCACGACACATATAAACCAGAAGATGCTATCATATGGTATACCAAAGATTCTTTCGTTTACCGTCTGATTAATAAAGCATTAAGAACAGAAGATATTGATCTTTTATATTTGTTTCGATTTTACATTGTTGATCTGTGTTTGCAGCTGGAACATGAACGTCTCTCTATAACACCATTAACAGTTTATCGTTGTCAAATTATGTCACGTGAAGAGTTTGAACAATTCGAAACAGGAATGTTAATTTCAACAAATACATTTTTTTCAACAACACGTAAACTAAATATTGCATTAGCATTTATTTCTAATGCATTAAATACAAGTGAACAAGTTGCCGTTTTATTTGACATTAAAATTGAATTTGGACTAACGTGTATTGTTGTTTGTGATGTTGATAAATATAGTGAAATGTCGGGCGAGAATGAAATTTTATTTAGTATTGGTACTGTTTTTAAAATCAACTGTATGACGTTTGATATGGACCAAAATGCTTTTAAAATCGTAATGACAGCAACAGATAACGGTTTCGATAAAGTTCAAGAACATATCACAGCGACATATGAACAATTTTCATACATGCAAAAACCAATATTATTCGGACGTCTTCTGATAAACATGGGAGACTACTTAAAAGCCGAACGTTATTACAATTTGATGTTAGAATCGGTTGAAAAAGATTCTTTAGATGCAGCTGATATTATACATGAAACAGCTAATATTAATTATCTTAAAGGCCAGTTCACAATCGCATTATTAAAGTACAAATATGCTTATGATATTCGTAAAAAATATTTATCTGATACAAATCATCCAAACATTGCTAAATCACTTATTACTATTGGCAACGTTTTCTATAATAGTAAGAGTTATGACTGTGCCATTGAGAAATATAAACAATCGCTTGCGATTTATCATAGTATTTATATGAATGAGGATCATTCAAACATTTCTAAAGTATTAATAAATCTAGGTAAAGCATACATTGGTAAAAATGAACATAAAATTGCTTTAGATTATTTAACAAAAGCATTACAAATAAGTCGACGTATTTTACCATTGAATCATCAAGATATTGGTGAATGTTTCGAAGCTATTGGCTTAGCATATAAAAGCCTTTCGGACTATAGTACTGCACCCCAGTATTATATTCAAGCATTTGATGTATATGCTGAAACTTTGCCAATCGAACATCGAAGGCTTTCTCGAGTATTCAATGGTATTCTCGATGTGATAATATAAAATTAAATATAGACAAAATGATTATAATTGAACATATATTATTGTTTGCAGCTCGCATATGAAAACTACCTGCTTTTTCCTCGCAACGATTCAAGCCGGGAGACCGCGATATTTGGATCGGGCATGTCGGG